GGAAATGCTATTTTCAGAATGAAGGGACAAGAAAGAAAGCAAAATAAATCATGCAATTTTCTGTTTTTATCTACTATTAGCCAGTTTACATCTGGATATGTTTTAGTTCATATAATCTCATCATAGAATATCAACATATCGCTTTGCAAAAAGTCATTTAAAATGTTTCCATTCCATTATATATTATTACCTTTGGCTTTTTTAAGTACTGGGAGCCTTCCACATGTTTCAAGTCAGTACTTCTCTTCTTTTGTTTTTCTTGCTCTTCCTCTGAGAAGCCTGGTGTCAGTATTTTTTACATAAACAAGTGCAAGTGTGAAAAGTGCATAGTTAAGTGTTGCTCCACATTCATTGTGGAATTTCCTGGGTGGCTTCCAAGAAGGTGCTGGATCACGCAGCCCCCTGCAGGCTCAGCCGTCGCCCATCCCAGAGCCGCATCCTGTCCCTCGCAGAGCTGGTGTCCAGGCCAAAGGCCATGTGGGTCAGCCCCATGAAACCACAGCCATCGGGTGAAATGGCTTTGTGTGTCTATCACCGTGCTACAATTGAGTCCAACCCAGTGTGTACTTATAAAGCCCATTATAAGAACTGAGGTCTTTAATACTTGGAATATGTGGAGAGAATTACTTTTTCTCTAACTGATTTTCATTGAGTTAAATTAACATTTATTATTTCTCTTGCCTTATCGAGGAAAACGATAGGGTGTGAGACCGGGCGTGGGGGTGCGCACCTGTAATCCCAGAGCTTTGGGAGGCTGAAAACAAGAGGATCACTATGAGTCTGATCTGTGTAGTGAGACCCTGTACTAAGTACATTAAAAAAGAAAGAAAGAAAGAAAGAAAGAAAGAAAGAAAGAAAGAAAGAAAGAAGAAAGAAAAGAAAATGATAGGGCGGATTTAAATGAGACTACTTTACAATGGATCGTTTTTCAAAAACCAACAGATAAACCCAGTTGTTTGAGATCATCTCAGTAAGCCTGACTTGACATACTTCACAGCATCTTGTTTTACAGGTTAGCGTCTAGAGCTTGTCTATTCTTCATATTTTCCCCATATTCTATGTCTCTTTCAAAGTGGCAGAAAGTGTCTTTGATTCATGCGTGAGGTTTAATCTTGGTGCAGACATCTCATACATAATATTTACTTCTAAATCCTGAGAAACGTAGCATGTCTGTTCCTGCTTAAGGAAAACAAGCACTTCAGCTGATGCTTACGGACAGACCAGACTTGGTCTGTGCACTATCCGCTCGCTCCCCTGCACTCTGTTTTCTCCCTCAGGCCTGATTTCCGAGAGTTACTGGAAGGTGAGTGTGAAAACTGAGCTCTTGCTGCGGCTACAGCTTAGCGGCACAATGTTCTTTTATTTGTATTTATTTTTATTTTTTATTTTTTTGGCAGAACTGGGGATTGAACTCAGGCCCTTGTGCTTGCCAGGGAAGTGCTCGGCACAAGGTTCTGAGTTTGATTCCCAAGACCAAAATAAAAAAGTAAATAAGAGTTCATTTCCTTACGTTCCAAGATCTCTAGGAAATCACATTTCCTCTCATTTGGTATTTGTAAATTTGGTATTTGTATTTTGTAACTTTTAGTTCTTCTTTATAGCAAGGTTTGAATGTTATTTTTCCCCAAATCTATAAAGCATAGTTAAATAAAAGAACAGTTGAATATAGAAAAAGATAGAGTA